CAGGATGGAAGTAAACCAGCTGCTGATGAAAGTTCCCAGCATGCTGGGTCTGTTATTCATGACACGTGAGTCAATTCTCTGAACCAAACAGAAGCGCTGATTGACTTGACATTGGTGTTGAAAATTCAGATTTTGGTCCCTATTTCGAGTGTAATAGGTTTCCATACTGATTTCAGACGAATGAAAGTGTTAGTTAGCTTTGACATCGTCATCTGTATGGCCAATATTTGAAACGATGTCACCTGCACAAGGGAAAGAGTTAACTTCCTTCAAAATTTCTGTCATTGATGTCAGTCGATACTTCTGTTTTAAAAAGTATTTTCCATTACTTTAAAGTAGCCTAGTGAGATTTGAATCCGCGTCACCCAATGTGGCCTTCAATCACAAACGTTACCACGAATGACTTCCTGCAGGACTCTGTTGGATACTTTGACTGAACACTAGTTAGTGACTAGTGTAGTGTGTATAGTCGTGAAGGCTAAATTCTATCAGTCACCATTTTAGGTGGCTCGCCACTACCTTGCACTGTGAACTGTTAATATTAAGTGGTTGGAGACAATCGGCTACAGGGAGCCTTACCGGGACCTAGGTTTCGTGCTAGTTGGCACTCATCAGCTGGGCGTATCTATTATTTTGAACTAGCCTTGGTAATCCAGCTCTAAAAATTAAGATCTACTTTTCTTAATATGATATCTTCACCTCGCCCCCCCCTCGACCTTTTTCTTACCTTTTATCTATGATCCTGAACTGTGAGCATTTTGACATATATCCATTTAATTTTCACCTTTCAAAGTCTGACACCTTTTAGGTAGACATACATCACAAGTACGTGTGTAATCAAATGATTAAGTCAAAGACAACGAGAAAGAGAAGACTGAAAGAAAAAGAAGAAAAGCTAAAGACTGAACCTTTCGTCAGCAACGAAACGTCCGAATCCCTAAGACAATCTGGCTCAAATATACCACGACTTTACAGACTTCCGAAAGTAGGGTATCCCTCTTCGATCGATCCTCAACACGACCGATTCGCCTCATCACCGCACAGCCCAATGGTTATCAGACCTACTAGAACCAATCAGAAGACAAGTTTTCTGCCACACAGTTCGAGGTTCATTCGACTTTATCGACCCAATCGAAAACATCAACGTATCCAACAAGACCATGATCTCATTAGATGTCACATCATTATTCACAAATGTTCCACTGACTGAAACAATATGCTGTATATGCGAACTTATTCATTCCAAAGGAATGAACATCGGTATACCCACCGAGCGTCTTAAAGAACTCCTGCTGAGATGTACCCTGAATGTTCAATTTTCTTCCAATAACGAAATATGTCGCCAAAAGGATGGTGTAGCTATGGGCTCACCACTAGACCCATTTCTTGCAGATTTCTTCATGGCAAAACTCGAAAACATATTCCTGAAGAAAATGATAGATACCTTCGAAATTTATAAGAGATACGTCGACAACACCTTCATTATCGTCAACAATGAAGAAAATCTAAAAGACATCCTGAAGTCGTTTAACAAATTCCACCCGCGATTCAGTTCACGCTGGAGAAAGAGTCCAACTCCAAAATATTTTTATTGACGTCCAACTAACAAGACGAAAACCGGATGGAGTACTGAAAAGATCTATCCACACAATGTCGAGGTGGAACGGACAGTTTACTAACTTTCACAGTTGGGTACCCCTATAAACCAAACGGAACCTGATCCGTTCACTCAGCAACAGAGTTCGCAGAATTTGTACCCCGGACACCATAGAAGATGAACTGGACAATCTCAAGAGAATCCTTGTCGAAAATTGTTATCCAGAACGATTTATTGCAAAATCTATGAATGCTAGACCACAAAAGCCGCCAATACTTAGCGTCCCGAAAAAACTACTCTACATGAACCTTCAATTCAATGGAGATATATCTGTGGAAACACTGAAAAATCGACTGTCGCACTTACTCAAGAAGACCTGCTTAGCAGCTGAACTACGACTAACTTTCTCCACAAAACCTATGATTCATGTGAACGTGAAGGATAAGCTACCACTGTTGGCCAGCCTCATCAATGTGTTTTTATCAATTCATCTGCTCCTGTGGAGCCAGGTATGTCGGCCGTACCCAGCGTTCGCTTTCCAAGCGTATCACCGAACACTTACCAACATGGTTTCACAAAGGAGAAAACAATGCCCCCGCAGCTCCATCTTAGAACAGCAAGCTACACTCCAAAGAAACTTTCAAGTCGCCGACAGCGTAAGAAGTAGTCTTCCTAAGGGTGTACGGATCAGACTTCTTCAAACTGCAGAAGCAGTGGTGATTCACTTGCTAAGCCCTGAACTCTGCATACAGAAGTTTGTTTAATCACTACACTTGCAATGGACATAATCTATCTTTATACCCGATAAGTAAATCCTACCTAATCTCTTTTTTTCTGTCTCTTCATTTGCATTATTTTGTCGTCTCAATTGGAATATTTTACATTTTCAACTTTCCTGTTCTCTACCCCCACTCGGTTTAATCTCTTCACCTTATTACCAGTTACTGATTTGAACAACGCTCAAGTTCTAGTCATTTATGTTATGTCATCCAATTTATTTGCTCAGTTTTAGTCCTAGTTTAAATGACACTATTCTCTATCCCACCTCTATTTAGTCTCTACCTGTAATTACCTATGTTGCTACCCTGACCTAAGTTGAAACATTTTAGTCAATTAATTATATTACGTCATCTAACTTACTAACTCAATCTTACTTTAGTTGCTGTCTGATTAACCTTGTTTCTATATTAGATCAAAGACAATGCTATGTATTAACAGTTGACGAAAAACCCTATACAAACATTAGATAACAAAATCAAAATATCACTAAAAATAAACTAACGAAATCAGGACACATTACACAGCAGGGCATCAGTGACGAGTGAAACCTAACGGACCTATTTTACCTCGACTTTATGGTAGACCGAAACTGTCTATACAAACCAAACACTCTCTTACAACCACCAGTTTTTCCGCTGCCAGGATCACTAACATATAATCTATCTAAAACGAACTTTTTAGAAAATTAAATTATCTAACAGAATCATGCGGACATTCTGTCAATTCGCCAACTCAATCAGTGATTTTAGAGAAAGTCAAAAACATTCCAGTCGATGACAATGGAATAATAGTGTCCTTTGATTTTACAGCATTATACGCTTCAACTGATCCAAAAGTACTCAAAGAAACTATGCAACAATTGTCTGTCTGTTTTCGACATAGAACTTTGCACTGATGTGTACCAGTTCAAGTCGCCACACTCCCTCCATGTAGCACATAAAGCAAGAGAAGAAAGTAGAAGAAATGCATAATAAAGACGGTAAACAGAGGTGTGAGACAAAGGAAGAGTAATAACGAAGAACAAAACAGTCTCATTGGAAATCATAAGTCACAGGGAGTGGATGCATTGAGAACGATTTTGAGCCAATTGTTTCCAACCATTGGTTTTTACCATCTCGAGGACCCCAACCAGTGAGGAAGTCTACACCTTCCTACGTGGCTTACTGTTATGTACTCGTCGACAAATTATTGTCATATACTGGTCGAGAATTTAATAGTCCTGACGCAAGAAGGCGGAAATCAGAAGACCACTAGGTTTGCGATGATACTTCTATTGTCCAAACACAAGGAGACGCAATAAATGGTATCACACCAAAGTAAGTAAGTGGTAAGTCACACAAATTGTGAGAACGAAATATATATATAACAAAATATAGCAGACATGTCAACAACCACCATATATGGATATATGTCACTAAGCAACGGACTGTCAACAAACACTCATATTATATATAATATAAGGAGAATATACATTGTTAAAGGAGACAGGTTCATACAAGTGAAATGGTCACAGACTAAGAGAGCAAACAGAAAGAGAGACCAACATACACACACACACATAAATATATAAATGGATACATATCACTTACACTAACTGTTGTAGATTACATTGACTGGTGAGGCCATGTTTTGGTTTGACCTCCGCTAGCTTTTTTCCAGCCTGACCCTATATCCGCTAACATTGCTCGTCGCGCAAGGCGGTGACTAGCCATACGTAACACATGTGCTAACCATCTCAGTTTATGTAACTTCACAGCCTTGTCGATTGATTTCCCCTCCTTATCCGACCGAAACCTGCTACCTTGACGTGGTGGTCGGGCTTGAACGCCGCAATGACCTAATCAAGCTATACTGGCTGAGACTTATGTCTCTTGAGGTCCTACCATGCCAGAAAGGTTGTTTGGATAGCGGTTAGACAAAAAGCAGCTACCCAATACAACACTATGATACATAAAAACTCACAAAATATCATGCCGGATCGGCCGTGGCCCGAATTAACAACGACCGCGCTTCCTGCTGCCGTGTCACAGGGCAGGAATGATAAATATGCTACAGAGACACACCAAACAAAAAAGAACGAACAAAAACAGGCCGCGTGTGACTGGCCTTAAGCAGTTGTCCCCTGGGCTCTGCAGTCACACAACCAACTTCCACGGTGTGGGCAGCCGGGAAGTAACAATCGCCCTCACAATCCGAAATGCACACGAAACCTCCCTAACACTCACTCATCTTTTTCTTCATCTTCATTTCTATTATCTTGCCTTCCTTCCACTGATGCAACTCCTCTGCTATGCAACAATTACTCTATAGCGATGAGAACACAAAAAAACGCTAGCCTCACGCCCAATCTTCCCTCTTTACCGGACTTACTACCGGCTTGGCGAGAAATGTAGGAGTACCGCGGTTGGGAGTCGAACCCTAAACCACGCGCGTGGTTAGACAGCATCCTACTGTTGAAATAAGGTTTCCTGCAGCCGGACAAAAAACAACACGATTTTTCCTGAATATAAAATATAAATTTTTTTCACACAAATATATATTCCAATATAAAATAATACAAAACATAATATCCAAAAGTATTAGATTGGATCAGTCTGTCTCCAGGAATATACGGTGCTTGTGTCTACTTTTTGAACAATAAATCCTTCACACTGAGTTTGCTTACATTCGGTACATAACGTATAGTTACTGATACACGTTTACCACGTTGACGTAGTAATTGTGATTGACTATCACCATCATCATCATCATCAATAACATTCAGGTTGCTAGCAGACCAATTATGAATTACAGCGGTATTATCAACTGTTTTCACCGAAGACATTGAATTACTTTCCCACTGGATTAGTAAGTCAGTTTCACGTTGAGCAATACCATGCATATAGTGGGTGTACAATTCTTCGCTAACTATATTTAAGCTACACCGTTCAAGATAAACTGAACCAATATAACGATCCTCCAGTAGAGTTGATTGTTCCATCTTAAAGACAAACAAACCGGAAAAAAAAATAGTATTACTATAAATTGAATATTCCCATAATTTATTCAGAACAAAATATTTAGAGAGAACAATTGTCGCTTTCAATAAATTTTTCCCTCTTCAGGCTTTACAATTATAAGTCCATTAATTTAAGCATACAACAGTCAGCCAGCCAGTAAAGGCAAACTAGAATCATATCAGAAAGTGTATTGTGGAACAAGTATAATTGTCATATATATGCGGATGATCTGACTGTATCACTCACTGCCTATCACTTCCGAGTCCGACTGCTCCAAACTTAATATAGCTTTCTGTTGGACATCAGTAAGTGGTCTAAGTCAAATGGTCTTATGTTAAATCCTTCCAAATGTCAGGCAGTTAACTTTACTTTCAAGCATCGACGTGACATACATGAACTAGTTAGTTCCCATGATGCCTGGCTGTAGCATAGATGGCACTGAAATTGAAACCAAGTTAAGCATTAAATACCTTGGATTAGTTCTTTCCTCCGACTTTTCATAGTAATCCCACATCTTATCGATCTCTAAGAAAATGTTTCATCTTACCTTCTACATTAAAAAGTTAAGACAGTCAGGTATCAACTAACCTTTAATTCTGCAGTTTGTAAACGCCTTCACTCTATTGCTCTCCATTAATCTTTCCTGGGCTTCTCAAAAAAAGACTATATCATATTACGAAGGGTATTAAATGCTGTGAGTAGGGCTTGTGGTATGACATTGAGTGAGCTCGCCAATATTATAGTCGAGAGACACATAAATTCCTGTACAAAATGGGTAAAGACCGTACTATCATGACCCTCTGCACCCCGCTTCTTTATTCACAACTATCGCCTTGCATCTCATCAGGTAGGACGAGAAGTCAATATAAGAAGTTATATGCTCGAACCACTAAGTACAAAAATTCTACAATACCCTGTTTAGCCCGTATTTTATGTGATGAAGACACTGTTGGACGTGAAACATATAAGTTACTATGTAATTAACAAAGTAAATCGACCCTTTCATTGTTCATCTTTCTGTAATTTTATGGTGTCACCCTTTCTATCGTTTAATTATGACTTAGCTATTTTATTTTAGTTGTTATCAGTATTATTACTATAATTTTATACTTTATGCATATTTTTCTCCTAATCGCATGCTGTAATTTGCCACATAGCCGCTATAACAACGTTTTGTTATTATTATTATTGTGTAATGTTTATTTTTTGTCGTTTTGAGTAAATCAGATGCAATATTGTACTGAATGCTGAAAATTCCTTGCTGTATCATTAGTACTGTTTTTGGAATAAAGCAAAAAGAATTATTATTATCATTAATATGGGATGGAACAATAGTCAGTTAGTTTTTTAATATGCGCCAACAACAGTCTACTTACAAAGAAACACCGAAAGGCATTACGCAACCTCAAGAAGAACAAAAATTTGATAACAACTAGACCTAATAAAGGATCTGGTACAGTTATCACGAATAAGAGTGATTATGTAGACAAAATGAATCTAATTTTAAGCGACCATACGAAATTTCAAAAGCTGAATGGCTGTAAAGACACAACTAAGGCGACCGAACGCCACATGGCTAAGATAGTAAAAACACTAGTTGGGAGTATTCTGATTCCTAAGGGCACACTCGAGGAATTGAAACCCTGGGGTACTCACATACGAAAACTTTATGGTTTAGCGAAAATCCACAAGCCCTGAGTACCACTACGTCCCATCCTAGATATGTGTCAATCTCCTTATCATTTTACAGCAAAGTGGTCGGTAAAGGCACTAAAACCGTTACATTGCGAATTGGTGAAACTCAGTGTAAAAGACGTATTAAGCTTTGTGGGAGCTACCAAAAGCCTGAATGTAAAGGGAAATAAAAATGATGTCACTGGATGTAGCATCATTATTCACCAACGTCCCGCATTGCTCGAAACAATCAACTACATATGTGACCAGCTGATAGAACGAAAGATAGATGTAGGAATCCTATCCAAAAAAGTCAAAGAATTATTACTGAAATGCATTATGAATGTTCAGTTTATGTTCAACAATGGTTTTTATAGGCAAGTTGATGGAGTTGCCATGGGATCACCCCTGGACCCTATGCTAATGGATATTTTCCTGGCAAAGCTTGAAGACGGTCCACTCAAAGACACGATTAAAGGGCTTGACTATTATTGTCAATACGTAGATGATACCTTTATCGTTTGTGATAAAAATCTTAATGAATAAGAGCTTCTGAATGGCGTTAATAGTGTTCACCCAACTGTTGAGTTTACATGTGAAGAAGAAGACAATAACAGTTTACCTTTCCTAGACGTGTCTTCCTTACCATAAAGACAGACGGATATCTACAAAGGAAATTATTTAAGAAGAAAACTTGGACGGGTCAGTACACCTATTTTCATAGCTTCACACCGATTCAATATAAAAGAAACTTTGTTAACTGTTTTAGCTATAGAATAAAACGCATATGCTCAGAGGAATGCATTTAGGAAGAAATGCATAAACTGAAACTCGCACTGCAAGAAAATGGATATCCACAGAGCTTCCTAAAAAAGTATATGTCAATACCTACAGACAGGGTAAAGGTGGATACCGTAGACAAGAAACCTTTGTATCTTACGTTAAGTTACAAAGGGGAAATTGCAGCTGACATTCTAAAATGACGACTTAATAGAGCAGTAGACAGAACATTTCCTGCAGCTAAACCGGTACTCAACTTCTCAACTAAACCAGCACTCACACAGCAAGTAAAGGATAAATTTGCGAAGATGGCCTCATCAATGTGCATCTACGAACTCAACTGTTCATGTGGAGCCGGTTACATTGGCCGTACTCAGAGGGCTTTATTCATGCGCGCGCATGAATATGTACCTGTATGGTTGAGTAAAGGAGTAACCAAATGCATAAATAGTGCAGTCTTAGCCCACTCGGTAGATACTGGACACCTGATAAAACTTGACCAAGCGTTCTCAGTTATTTACCGCGTTCCTAGTAATTTATCTAGAGGAGCTCGATTACGTCTTCTATCAGTAGCTGAGGCGGTTGCAATTAATACTAGAAGACCAGGTGTCTGTATACAGGGACAGTATATTCAACCTCTATGTTTACCTTGGCCTACAATAAAGCCAACAAATCCTCCATTAACACTATAAATTCCTTTCACAATTTTCTTTTCTTCTCCTTCTTCTATTCCTCTGTTTCATTGACAAACGTTCATTTTCGACTTTTATGATTGCATGACCTTTCTTATGATTTCTGTTATCACCTTATGTTTAAGTAGTGCTTTTCTAACTTGTTATCGTATTTACAAAATCCTGTTCATTCCACTTCATTATATTCATTATATATATATATATATATATATATATATATATATATATATCAATCATTAAATTAAATTACTTCATCTCATTTTGTCGGTGCATCGGTAGCACAGTGGTTAGGACTCTCGCCGACCATGCACATGGTCCGGGGTTCAATCCACTGTCGGCGCACATCTGATATCTATGGTCGGCCTGCAAAATTTGGGTTACCGATATCACATGCTGAAAATTCCATACCTGCACCAAAAAATATGGTGTGGAATCAAGCTGTAATCAAAAATATATAAATAAAAATGTTCTCATTGACCGTGCATATTAAAAAACTGGCTATTGTTCCATCCCATCTCACTTATACTTGTTCCGCAAAACACTTTCTGATATGATTTTAATTTGCCTTTACTGCCTGGCTGGCTATTGTATGGCATAAATGAATGGATTTATAATTGTATAACTCCATTATGGATAAGATTTTATTTTGATAAATCATACAGTGTCACACAGTAATATTAACTGATGACCACACGTTTCGAGCACAAATTATTGCCACTCATAATCATATCAAGTTACTCACTCACACAACTTTCTTCCTTCATTTATATACATGTGTGGAATTCACTAGATATTGGAATAAAAATCAATATGAGATAGTGTACATTCAGAAATAACAATGATATGAGTGTTATTGATTAATTACAATCAGATGGGATATTCGACAAAATAAAAATAATTGTGAAACTAGTAGTGATAACATAAATACGAGAGAATATGTCATCTACTGTTATACCGTATAAGGAGAGGACATATGAGACGCTACGTAGGATTCTTAATAAAGCAGGAATTAGGGTGGTCGCATTCAAACCTACAAACTCACTCAGACAGGACAAGCTCTGTAGGCCAAAAGATCCGGTGGACCCAATTAAACAAAATAATATCATTTACAAAATACCCTGCAATGACTGTGAGTTAGGTCAACTAAATAGTAGATCGTGGGTAATTAGATCGTCGGAACATAAGAATTTAGCTAAGGGAAGAATGGTTGACCCCAAGAAGGTAAATAATTTAGAATAGATCTCAGCTATTGCACTTCACGCATTAACAAACAACCACACAATAGCATGGTGGGAGAGGATTAAAATTCCTAAAAGTAATATAGGTAGATGGAGAGAGAGGTTGATTACTGAATCCCGCCTGGTTCATCGAGTCTACACCCAACACATACACAATAGAAGTAACTGCCATCCAAAGCCTCAGGATGGTCGGGGGTGGGTGTCTTGCGCTGCGGGTTGGCCACCCCTCCGCACACCTCTTGAAATGCTCCCATATGACCGTGCGTCTTACATAGCCTCTCCTGAGGAAGTCCTACTCACTGCCTTCACGTGGCGGAGGTGTTTCTCACTAAAGTGAGAGGGCAAAAGCGGATGCCCGGCGCTCTCCACCGGGTTGACTGTCCATTGGATGACAGTCTAGGGGAGATGGCTAAACCCTGATTCCAAACCTCCAACGATTGGCGTATGAAGCTCACTGGAGCTCACCGGCAGACGTATGGACAAAGGGCTTGTTGGATGTCCTGGATGTCTGGCCCCATTCAAAAAGGCGTATGAACCGAACTCCGGTCACCGGCTGCCAATGGATAGTGGACTCCTTACTCCACTCCTACTGCCTTGTAGGTCACACTTGGCTGTGTAAAGGCTAGAGCTGCACTCTCAAACAAAAGGCCGAGCGATGCTGGGGACATCACTCGTACCAAATTCCCAAGAAACTTCATGAACTCTCCTACAAACAACTCTCACCATGCTACGGCGTTCCCGGTAAGCGACGCGCCCTGTGCTCACCCGGTGGCCAGTGTGAAAAGTAAGCTAGCTGGGAAATTAACACTTAGAAACCAACTATTTGTTGGCTGCTGGAATGTTAGGACGCTGTTGGATCCTGGTAGCCAGTCTATCACCATGCGTTCTTTATATGACTACAAGGTAGACATAGCGTGTCTATCTGAAGTGAGGTTACCCGATCATGGCTCCCGCCGAATAGCCGTTCCTGGAACAGATTCTTCATTCTGGTTGCTTCATAGTGGCCCCCAGAATAATTCGGGACAACATGGGGTAGCATTTGCTCTCAGTAACAAAGCCAATAATGCCCTAATATCATTCGAACCGGTCAACTCCAGAGTTGCAGTCGCTAGGTTCAAGGGTTCCCCGCTCGACATTTCTGTTCTCGCTGTCTATGCCCCAACCCTCGACTCTGATGAAAGTATCAAAGACGAATTTTATGACAATCTTCAAGAGGCAATCAACAAAATCCCAAAGCGTGACGTTCTCATAGTAGCCGGCGATTGGAACGCCCGCACTGGCCCTTCAGACGACGCGACAAAACATATACTAGGCAAACACGGTCTCGATCAGCGCTGCCGTAATGGTGATAGACTTTTATCTTTTTCTGATTACAATCGATTATATATCACCAACACTCGATTTCAACACCCCAGAAAACATCTTCTCACCTGGTATTCGAACGACGGTCGCACTGCACATCAGATCGACTACATCCTAGTGCGCTCACGCTGGATCTCCTCGGTGGAAGACTGTCGATCCTATCGTGGAGCAGAGGCCGGAAATAAAGGGGGATCAGACCATACTCTAGTTAGGGCGAAATTCAAACTTCGTTTAACGACACGCCAGAAGACGCGACCTCCGAAGCGTATCAATGTTGCCCCGCTTCAATGTTCTACAAGACGACAAGCCTTGTCCAAACAAATCCAGGCCGAACTAAGCACCGCAGATGAACCAACATCCACATCTTCTAATACACCCGAGACACGATGGAATCATTTCAAAGAAGTAGTCTCTAAAGCTTCAATGACGCATTTGGGTACCACATCCAAGAAGCAGAAAGACTGGATTTCAGAGCACACCATGCTTCTATCCTCGCAAGCCAGAGACGCTCGCCTAGCAAAGTCTCCAGTTTATCGCTCCCTCAGGCGCAAAGCTACACAGTCTGCTAGGAACGACAGAAATCGCTATTGGTCTAACGTGGCGACTAACATGGAAGCAGCAACAAATGTAGGCGATTTCGGAAAACTTTATCGCCTCTTACGCCAATCATCTGGCAAACGCCTTAACAGTCATGCTGTGTTACGCACAGCATCAGGAGAAATTATTTCGGACACCAATGGTAAGATGGAACGATGGGCCGAATACTTCAAGCAGCTACTCAATCGCGACGCTGGTCAACCGTCTCATCGACCGATACGACACTTACCAACACCCTACGTAGTTGACTGCGATCCACCCACTCCAACCGAAATAGCTAAAACAATTAACACACTCAGAAACAAAAAAGCTCCGGGCGAAGATGGTCTACCCCCAGAAATATACAAGGCCTGCACTCCAGCGCTAATCGATGCACTGCACTCGCTGTTCTGCTCAATTTGGGAGTCCGAAACCATTCCTTCCGATTGGAGCACCTCAGTTCTGCTACCGTTCCACAAAAAGGGAGACAGGTCAATATGCGAGAACTACCGAGGCATAAGTCTGATTGATATCGCTGCTAAGGTTTTTGTTTCCATTCTCCTGAACCGCTTCGCGGCCGAACGCCACGTGCGAACAAGGCCAAATCAAGCCGGATTTCGACCTGGAAGAGGCTGTGTTGATCAATTATTCACACTGCGAAGAATTTTGGAACACAGGGACAAATTCCAACAGCCGACGGTTGCCTGCTTCATCGACTTCCAAGCGGCATTCGACTCAGTTGATCGAGGAGCACTCTGGTATCTAATGGAGCTCGACGGAGTTCCGACCAAGCTAATCAACCTGCTCAGGTCATACTACTCCAACACCAAAGCTCGAGTCCGAGTGAACGGTGAAGAGTCCCGCACTTTTGAGGTAACCAGCGGTGTCCGGCAAGGTTGTCCAGCATCCCCCATCCTGTTCAATTTCACAGTTGATTGGATTTTGCGGCACGCCCTAACCGAGCACCACGGCGTCCAACTTTCGCCCGATATTCACATAACCGACCTCGAATTCGCCGACGACGTCGTGCTGTTAGCTGAAAACTTCCCCGATATGCAACAGGCGCTCGACCAGATAAACCACCTCGCGTCTACTATCGGTTTGAAAATTAACACTTCCAAAACCAAAATGTTTTCGAACACATCCGCCGGCAATGATGAAATCTTATCCTTAAATGGAGCACCTATTGAAATTGTGCCATCCTTCAGATATCTGGGATCCATAATGCTCCCCAACGGCCAAGCGAAAAACGAAGTGAATGCGCGAATCTCCAACGCCCGGAATGCGTTTCTACAGCTGAGGAGCGTTCTATGGAGCAAGAGAGAAATCAGTCTCAGGACTAAAATTCGGATCTACCAAGCTTCCATACGACCCGTTCTGCTGTATGGCTGTGAAACCTGGCCTCTTCGCGCGGAAGATTTACGCAGACTCGAGGTATTAGACCATTGGTGTCTCAGGTACATTCTGCATGTTCGTTGGCAGGACAAACTCTCCAACGAAGAAGTGCGTCGGCGTTGCTACAACATCAACCAAATTCCAGTACTGGTCCAACAACGCCGCCTTCGGTGGTTTGGCCATGTTCTGCGCCGACCAGATGACGATCTGGTCAAATCAGTTCTAAATCCCTCGCCATTACCATCTTGGCGATGTCGCAGAGGCGGACAGCTGAAGACATGGCTTGGTACAGTCAAGGCAGATATGGAGTGCCTGGGGCTACAAACGGTCTACGGACTCCGTATGTGGAACAAGAATTGGATATCCCTATCACAAAACCTTGCTTCAGATCGCCGCGCCTGGGCAGCGATGATTCGAGACGTTCATGAAGCCGGCTCATCCTCCCGTAGGAGATAGCCGAAGTAAAGTAAAGTAAGTAAAGTAATAGAAGTAACTCAATGCAAATACCAGAGATACGCATGGAAGATATTATTACCACCAAGTCAGTCAAATCACAGGAGGATAATAAATAATTTTCAAATCCTATTTCAATTCACGTACATCACAACATTCTAACAAATAACTTATTATGACTAAAAAGCACTCGTCGTATTTCCCATATGATTGAGTTTGATCAATATTGATTTTTATTCCAATATCTAGTGAATTCCACACATGTATATAAATGAAGGGAGAAAGTTGTGTGAATGAGTGAGTAACTTGATATGATTGTGAGTGGCAATAATTTGTGCTCGAAACGTGTGGTCATCAGTTAATATTACTGTATAACACTCCACTGTGTGACAGTTTATCAAAATAAAATAAAATCTTATCCATAATGGAGTTATACTCTACCACTTCCAGTGGCCAAGTTTTATACTTACATCAATAATTATAATTGTAGAGCTTGAAGAAGAAGAAGAGGAATTTATTGAAAGCGACAATTGTTCCTTCTAAATATTTTATTACACTATAAAGAAAGTGATTACCTGATCTGTGTCTCTATCCAATGGTGTATAGAAATCCAAGACACCATAAGAATTCAAGTTGATTGTAGCCACAACGGGATAATACAGTGGTCCATCATGATGAGGCTATATTGAGAATAAAATTAGTGGTGAAAACACAACATAACAACATAAAATTATAATAATAATAATAATAATAATAATAATAGCAGAAGAAATTAATGTAATTCATTATAATTTATAGTTAAAATTAAGAAATTTTAGAAAAAAACTAACTCAGTCACTAAGTGCGTGGTTAAGTCTGTCTGTTTTCGACATATAGAACTTTGCACCGATGTGCACCAGTTCAAGTCGCCACACTCCACTCCTTGTACCACACAAAGCAAGAGAAGAAAGTAGAAGAAATCCATAATAGAGACGGTAAACAGAGGTGTGAGACAAAGGAATAGTAATAACGAAGAACAATATAGTTTCATTGGAAATCATAAGTCACAAGAAGTGGATGCATCTGCGCTAACCATCGAGAACGGCTTTTAGCCATGTCACCAATTGTTTCCAGCCTTCATTGGTTTTCACCGTCCCGAGGACCCCAACCAGTCAGGAAGTCTACACCTTCCTACGTGGCTTAGACTAACTGTAGTAGATTTCATTGACTGATGCCATGTTTAAGTTTGACCCTATATCGACTAACATTGCCCCTCAGTCGAGGAAGGCGATGATCACGCATACGTAACACATGTCCTAACCATCTTAGTTGATGCAATTTCACAGCCTCATCGATTGATTTCTCCTCCCACCTACCTAGCACTCGACGCCTAACATCAATATTGCTCATCTTATCATACCACTTCACGAGGGAAATAAAGCGCAGGCACCTATCATCAAAGACAGCTAATCTTTTCATATCTTCCAATCTCAATGGCCAGGTTTCACAGCCATAAAGGAGGACGCAGCGGACTGATGAGCAGTACACCCGCCCTTTGGTCGACAGTCGGATATCACGTCTACGCCAGAGACGGCGTAAACTGGCATATGCGAAACTAGCCCTCTGTATCCGTACTCAGCTGAGATTTCGTCAGAGGTCAACCCGTTGGCACTGGTTGATTGTACCTCCCAAATAAGTGAAGCGGTCAACGTGCTCTATCACTTCATTTCCTATTTTTAAACTAGGCGTCGATGTAGTCCAGTCCTGTAACATCATCTTGCATTTGGCGGGAGCGAATCGCATGCCAAACATTCGTAGATTGCAGCTCAAGGTGTTCACAAGACTCTGCATTTTGTCAGCCAGCGTCCTCACCTAAAAGGACTATATCGTCTGCATATTCTAAGTCAACGAGATTATTCCCTGGTAGCAAGCCAATCCCTGAGTCGCTGAAGTCAGTTAGGGTTAAGTTCATTAGTACATCTATGATGAAGTTGAACAGAAATGGGGATAATGGGTATCCTTGACGGACACCACTAGTCGTCACCACTTCAGATGACAACTCGCCGTAAACCCTCACCTGACTGCATGAGTACGAGTAGAGTGCCTTAGTCAGTGCAATGTATTTTCTCGGGATTCCCTTTACAGCCAAGCACCGCCAGAGAACATCTCGGTCGACAGAATCGAATTCCGCCTTTAGGTCAAGAAATATAATGATTGTTGGACGCCGGTAGGAATGCCTATGTTCTAGAGTCTGCGTGGTTAAGTGGTACTTTGCAAGTCACACATGTCTACACACACACACACACAAACGTTGTATCTCCCGTGTCCGCAAGGTGGTATAATCAGGTGAGCAAATTTGAGGATAGGCATCGATGGTCGAGTGCTAGGTAGGTAGGTAAGGAGGAGGAAATCAATCGACGAGCTGGTTGTGAAGCTACTACATCGATTGAGAGAGAGAGAGACGGCTAGGACATGTGTTACGCATACCACTGAGCTATCGGTCGCATTCCTCGACCGACAGGCAATGTTAGCTGACTAACATAGGTTGGATAAGGTTGGAAAAGAGCTAGCTAGTGGCGGTCAAAGCAAAACATATCTTCACCGGTCATTCATTCATCCATAACAGTTAGTTAAAAACAGAAAGGGAAGACGTAGACTTCCTGACTAGTTGGGATCCTCGGGATTGTAAAAGCCAATGACGATTGGTGATATGGCTTAAACTCGTCCTCTTAGACGCATATCAAATAAAATTCTATTGTTCTTCCGTATTGCTACTCTGTTTGCCTTATACTTCTGTTCATTATCTCTTTTTTAAATCTCTCTATACTCTTCTTTTTTTGCTTTGTGTGCTATATGTAGGGTGTGTGGCAACTCGAACTAGTGCACAACTGTGCCAAGTTCTACGTTGAAGCCAGTCAGTCAACCAGACCCACAAAAATGTGTCGACCTAATACCACTAACAATTTAATTGGTGAATGGTAACTAATAGTGGAATCCAGTCAGGATGTGCATTTCGTCCTGTTTGGGACTCGTCAACTGAATGTACCTGCATTTCCCAGTGAGTGATGATGTTTCCACCGAGGCTCGAACCCAATTCTCATAGTTTCAAACACCAGCCAAAGCGTTATCCACTAGACCACTTGGGTTGCCTCAGTAGCATATTTATCACTCCTGCCCTGTGACACGGCAGCAGGAAGCGCGGTCGTTGTTAATCCGGGCCACCGCCGATCCGGCATGAAATTTTGTGATTTTGTATTGATCATGATGTTGGATTGGGTAGCTGCTTTTAGTTTAACCGCTATCCAAACAACCTTTCTGGCATGGTAGGACATCAAGAGACATAAGTCTCAGCCAGTATAGCTTGATTAGGTCATTGCGGTGTTGAAGCCCGACCACCACGTCAAGGTAGCAGCTTTCGGTCGGTCGGCTCAAAATCGTTCTCAGTGGCGCAGATGCATCCACTCCTTGTGACTTATGATCTGCAGTGAAACTATATTGTTCTTCGTTATTACTCCTTTGTCTCACACCTCTGCTCACTGTTTCTATTATGCTTTTCTTGTACTTTCTTCTCTTGCTTCGCGTGCTACACGGAGTGTGGCGACTTGAACTTCCGCACATTTGTGCAAAGTTCTATGTCGAAAACAGACAGACAGACCAGTGTTGACTAAGTGTTCAGTTGTAGTACTTTTTATTAATCCACTGTTACCTTTTTGTAGTCTAGCAGGATAATGTTCTTTGACTTTTTTGGATAAAACACACATCAAACGATCTGTATATCTTGCTCGCGCCACATGAGCAAGTCAATTGATAAGTAGGTACACACAGAAGTGGTTAAATGCGATAATTTATCTTCGCAGTTGTTGAGGAACAATGGGTGGCTTGAGAATACCAATCGTAATGTAGCAACAGGGAATTTTCTTTTCAGGGTATGTCAGGACACGTGTCTCCATTAACACCCTATTTCATATTACGCAACCCTTGTCAATACTTACCAATCTTCACCACCCCCCCCTAGTTACAATTTTGATTATTTATCACATTTTAGAAACATTTTGATGGCGTAAACAGTAACCCTAACTAATTTTTATTTTTATTTGACGATTCTAATGTGCACACACACACAGAATAATTGTGTATAAAGAAAATGAAGGACAAATTCAGAGAAGAAAATTTTCTTTTTCGACGAAATCATCTTCAGAGGCTGTACACAGTCGTATTTATATTTACCAATGGTGTATAGTAGTATATTATAGAGTAATAGGCGGAAAGGTGACATAATTGATATATAATTACTCACAAGTGGCTTTAGAAGTAAAAAATAAAAGTCGTAAACTACGTAGTACTTTCTCAACGATAGTGAAAAGGAAGAAAGCGTTAGAAATTTGATGAGGTTAAAATTGGTATTAAGTGAGAAGAAAGGCGGTAGTTGAGTGTCCAAGTGTGAATAAGTGTGAAGAGGGTGTAGAAATGTACAAAGGGGACGTGTGAGACTGATAATAGTGAATTAATTATTAAAGTAAAAGCAAACTAAAAGTAAAATCGAGAATTCAAAAGATTAAAATTTTTTTTTACAGTGAACGACTAGTGAAGAGATCAAGACCAAGGTAGAATAAGAGACTGGACAAACTTTTTCTGTATACAGAGTTCCGGGTTGTATTGACGAATCGCCAGCATCTCCGCTATATATATATATATATATATATATATATATATATATATGCTCTTCTATCATATGCCTTAATGAAACACAATTTTGAATTTCGTGGAGAACTTTTCCTGCCTGTAGAGAAAACCATGTATGTATTTTATTTACATGAATACACAGGCGACCCACTGTGGATAGTTTTCAAGTGTACCAAAGTTACATGGATGATATTTTCATCATATGTGACGAGAATGTCAGCATTTAAATGATAACTAAGGAGTTCAGCAATTGTCATCATATCATCCAGTTCACGTCGGAATCAGAGATGAATTCACATTTCCATGGTTTGCATGTTTTTAGAAAGGAGCTCTGACAGTTCTCTTTAAAGATCGATCTACGGGAAACCAACGTGGTGTGATCAATAAATGAATTTTCATAATCGGTTCCCTTTGAGAATAGAAACCTGATCCACTCCTTATCCTCAAGAGTAAGAAGGATATGCACCAGAGATACAATCGATGGTGAACTGGAGCGACTCAGACAAGTCCTCATAGAAAATGGATATCCTTCAAAATTTATCGAGAAAAACATGAAGTTAAAGCAAAAGCCTGAAAGAACCCAGACGGTGCCGAAGAAACTGATATTGTTGAACGTTGAATCTAAAGGTGATACCGCAGCTGAGATCCTGAAGAATCGCTACGGATCAATTTCTTCAGCTGATAAATGATCAATGGATGTGTGAAGGATAAACTGCAGCTTCGGACGGGCTATTTCAATGTGTTTATAAATTCATCTACTCCTGTGGAGCTAGTTATATTGGCCCCACAAAGCGCACGCCTTCCAAACACATCTCTGAATATTATCCGTCATGGTTAGCAAAAGGATAATGCAAGACATTTACTAGCTCAATTCTCGAGCACTTAGTGAACTCAAGCCACGTAGCTCCACCAGAGTCGTCTTTCAGGATCATCCCTAAGGTGAGGCCAAATGGTACAAAGGGTGTCAGGTTTCTGCTTTTGTATATAGCGGAGACACTGGCGATTCGTCAATACAACCCGGAACTCTGTATACAGAAAAAGTTTGTCCAGTCTCTTATTCTACCTTGGTCTTGATCTCTTCACTAGTCGTTCACTGTAAAAAAAAATTTTAATCTTTTGAATTCTCGATTTTACTTTTAGTTTGCTTTTACTTTAATAATTAATTCACTATTATCAGTCTCACACGTCCCCTTTGTACATTTCTACACCCTCTTCACACTTATTCACACTTGGACACTCAACTACCGCCTTTCTTCTCACTTAATACCAATTTTAACCTCATCAAATTTCTAACGCTTTCTTCCTTTTCACTATCGTTGAGAAAGTACTACGTAGTTTACGACTTTTATTTTTTATGGGATAAAAATAGTTCTCAGTTTTAGGTTGGTGTATCAACAGAGTATAATTCCATTGTGGGTAAAATTTATTTTGATAAAGTTTCATAGTGTTGTTATACAGCAATATTTACTGAGCAATAGACTGTGCTTGAAACATGACCATGTGTAAATATTACTAATGTATAACACTGTGAGACTTCATCAGAATAAATTTTACCCCCAATGAAATTAAACTCTACCACAGTGCACAGATTCTATTCTTATGTCAACAGAGTAATTTAACAACATTTAGGTCTTCTAACCCTAACAACAACCCTAATCTTTCCTTGAACCTAGTCCTAACGTGAAAATACCCCTAAACTAACTGTAATCTAACTCGAACCAAACCTACTGTCGCCTTTGTTAGATTAACCTAATCCTAACTTGTCCTTGGCTTAAAGAGTAACTTGGTCTTTCGCAAACACCTAAGCTGAAACTCGCCAGATATCCTATTTAATAACATAATACTTCGATGTGAGCATATTTTATCGATGATGACAGTACTATTTGCTGGATTCCACTAAATTGCTCAGTGAGCTTTTCAAAGTCATTGGTGAGGTCGCACTCCATTATTGGCAGTTAGAGGTGCTTAAAGTTTAACTTTGCCCAACAAACATTAGGGTAATGATGAACCTTCATTTATATGCAAGAAGAACGAACAAACGATGTGAAATGAATATGTTGGCCAACGCATAACTTTCTCCGAAAAAAGATATCCCTCTCTTAGTACTCCCATCTTGCCTTCTTGTTAGCAGGACATCGAAAAAAATGATAAAGTATAGTCCTCGTCTATTTCATAAATGAACTCAGTTTGTGGGTGAACAACAAAAGAACGTCGAAGTTACACCGAACAACTGTAAACATTATTTCATTCATTTTTATTTGTACTGCTAACTTTATTATTATTATAGTTATATCATGATGTGGTATAGTTGCCTATTTCGAGCTAAGTCCCACAATTTATTCTTATCATCAACCTAATATCATGTAATCTCTATGTGAAAATAGTAATTTCCCCCACACCCTCCTACCCATGCTAGTCTGTCTGTTTATCTGTATGTTTTCGACATAGAACTTTCCACCGATGTGCACTAGTTCAAGTCGCCACACTCCCTCCTTGTACCACACAAAGCAAGAGAAGTAAGCAGAAGAAATGCATAATAGAGACAGTAAACAGAGGTGTGAGACAAAGGAATAGTAATAACGAAGAACAATATAGTTTCATTGGAAATCATAAGTCACAAGGAGTGGATGCATCTGCGCTAGCCATTGAGAACGATCACTTTGAGCCATATCACCAATTGTTTCCAGCCTTCATTGGTTTTTACCGTCCCGTGGACCCCAACCAGTCAGGAAGTCTACACCTTCCTACGTCACTGGCTTAAACCAACTGTTGTAAATTTCATTGACTGGCGCCATGTTTTGGTCTGACCACCACTTGCTAACTCCTTTCCAGCCTGACCCTATATCAGCTAACATTGCCTGTCGGTCGAGGAAGGCGATGACTAGCCATACGTAATACATATCCTAGCCATCTCAGTTGATTTAGCTTCACAACCTCGTCGATTGATTTCCCCTGTTTACCTAGAACTCAACTCACGCCTAACCTTAGTATTGCTCACCTTATTATAGCACTTCACACGGGAGATCGAGCTCAGGCACCTATGATCAAAGACAGCTAATCTTTTCATGTCTTCCACTCTCAATGGCCATGTCTCAGTCACAGGCATAAAGGAGGACGGAGCGGACTGCTGAGCAGTATACACGCCCTAATTTGTGGTCTATAAATACGCATAAGGAAATAGAAGTGAATTATATATACGCTGAGGAAAACATTGACTACCAACAAGCGCTAGGCACTCGAGTGGAATCTGAATGAGAAGCAAAACAAGTTCGGTGCGCGTCCGACGGTGGCATAGAAGACATTTGTTTGACGAGGAAATGAAAGCTTACGGACAATCTTGAATCCCGCCAAAAGCAGCTGCAAAGAAAAGGATAAAATGGCAAAGTGCTATTGAAACCATGTGTTCTACTCCGAACCTAAACTAATATCATTATTTTATATACCATGATTAGCTCTCATATTGAGATCTATAGCCTAGACTACATGAAATAAGTAGTTCGATGGAATGCGTTTTTAATGGCAATATAAAAAACGCTTAAGCAAACAAACAAAACACGGAATATACACATTTGGTCATAGGAGTTATTAAGAAGACAGTTGCAGCGAAGAAAATTTTCTTTTCGATGAAGTCATCATCTACGCTGTACATTCGTATATTTATATCAGATGGATGGAAAAGTTCCAGAATAATTTACGGTTACGGGTCAAATTAATCAAAATTATAAATCTAAAAAGACTTCCAAACAAGTCCAATCCGTTCTAAAGAAAATACTTCTGCTTAATCTAGAATTCAAAGATGATATTGAAGCAGAAATCTTTCGTAAATGCCTCTCCAAATCTCTTCGCCGCAAGCCTACGACTGACGTTTTCCTGCAAGAAACTGTTCAGCCAGAAGGCGAAAGAAAAGCTGCCGCATTGGGCCACCTCAACGTGCATATACCAAATTACTTGCTCTTGCGAAACTGAGTACATTAGCCGTACCATGCGCCAACTTCAAAAACACATTCGTGAACACTATCCAGCCTGGCTAGTAAAAGGAGACCAAAAGCGTGTATACAGTTCAGTGACAGAACATCTGGTCAATTCAGGACATTCAGCGCCTTTTAAAAAAATCCTTCAAAGTAATATACAAGATTTAATCAAAGCTATCAAAGAGAGTGAAATCAAGACATCTGGGCATAGCCGAGTCGCTAGCTATCCAAAAGCTCAAACCCACGCTTTGTATCTAAAAGAAATATGTCTAACCCTGCTATGGCCATCATAAACAGGTAATCCTTTTAGTAATGACCATCTCATCGCCTTTCTTATCTAAACTTCCTGTTTATTCATGTTATTTTTAAATTTTTCTTAATCCCTATTTGCACTACCATATTTTCATATCCAAACTTCGAGTTTATTTTGTCATTATATTATTTCTACATATTTAATCCATAAATGCATAAACACTTATTCGTCACATTAGTTATGATCCCACTAGCTTTTTTTATCCCCCAACTGCACAATATGTCAATCTTCTTAGTAATTATGATGCTACTTTGTTTGAGTTTTACCCATCCAACCCCCTGTTTATTATGTCATTTTAATTCCTAATTGTAATTTTTATTAATTCGACCCTTAATATTATTAAATTATCCTGGAAATTTCCCATCCATTTGATATAAATACACGAATGTACAGCCTCGTAGTTGATGACTTTCGTCGAAAACAAACAAAAGTAATGAACTTACAAGTATCCCTTGGCCACATTCATATTCATTTACCAATGCATGATTGGCTTTATTCTCATGGAATAGATTTAAAGCTGAAACTCGATTCACGTATACCTGTAACCACTAAAAGCAGACTATATTTTTAAATTCATCAAAGATAGTAAATGAACCTGTGGAATTTTTTCAACCAGCATGCCTTTAACATGAGGAATCCCACCCCAATTTTGTAATCGTCTGTCACGTAAAGCAACCCATTTTGGAAGAGGTGAAGCATAAATATGTTTCAACAAGTCTTTTTCTTCTTCTTCATTTATAAAATTTGGTATGTAGAAGAATTTTGATGGCAATGATGCAACACGATAATCCTCCAATGAAGATAACATAACCATCAACTCTGTTATCTGAAAAATTTAGGATAGGTAAAGTTGTAAAATGCTGAACAAAAAGGCTCGTGAAAAGCTTTAAATCGAAAGACAAAAGTAAATACCTCAACTTTGTGTCACAGTTTAGGTTGCAACACTCCATATAGCATACAACTGTAAGGAATATAAAAAAAATCTCAAAAGAAGCATGATGGATGCAAAAATGTATCGGAGAAAGGATAACTCATGAAAACAAAACACGTAGATCAGCGAAGAGTCTGTTTTCAGCGAATTCATTTTCTTAGCTGTACAATCGCAAATATATATGTGTTATGTTGTATGTATGTGTACATTAAGTTTGTCAAACAAAATTACAATTGGTTAAGGTTTTTTTAACTATACACGTGAAGATTGGGAATTCAAGTCAAGAAAATTAGGTGTTAATGAAATTAGGGTTGTAACAAAGGTGATGAGTTGTCACAAACAGTTGTTAAAAGATGTTACGTAATAATATGAATAGTTTGATGAGTGAGTTTTACTCAGGATGCACATAGGAACGAAGTAGATAACACGAAATTACGTAAGAGTTCTAAATGAACATACAAGAATTATAAGCGGTTAAAGAACAGGCAAAGAAACAAAATTAAGTCATCAAAAATTAAAAAAGAGCTCACATCAAATCAAAAAAATTGTTATGATGACAGTAGAAGTGGTTGAGCATACGTGGACAACATTATCATTATTTGTGACAACAGCAATGACCCCAATCTACTGCTTCAGACATTTAACTGTTGCCATCTAGCAAAAAAATTCACTCTTCAAAGGGAAAACGAGTCAAAAACTCCGTTTCTTGAAGTGGAGCTAACAAGAAGAACTGATGGGAGCCTAAGAAGATTGATCCATAGAAAACCTATGTGGAATGGTCAACTAACAAGCTTCTATAGCTGAGTACCCATTCAACAAAAGCCAAATTTAATTAAATCACTTGCCACCAGCATCCGACGCATCTGTAGTCCCGACGTTCTGGAAACAGAATTAGATATTCTAAGAGAAATCTTCATCCAAAACGGATACCCAATAAGATTCATCGACAACAATATCAAACCAAGAATTCGGAGAAACGAAACTTTAATTGCGCCTAAAAAGAAACTCTACATGAACTTGGATTTCAAGGGAGATTTCACAAGCGACATTCTCAAGAGAAGGATCACATCATCTCTGAGAACATTCTTTGCAGCAACGCTAAGAATAATGTTTTCGAGTCGCCCACTGATCTGCGGAAGCCTCAAGGACAAGATCCCACATCTGACCACTTCTATGTGCATAGATCAGTTCACCTGCTGCTGTGGAGCCAGTTACATCAGTCATTCGACCCGCACCCTGTCCAAGAGGACCCAAGAACACTATCCATCATGGTTGCGAAAAGGCAATAGTGGTGCAATAAGCAGTGCGATAATTAAACACCTGGTTAACACTGATCATTCCATTTCAACAAATGCCTCCTTCAAAGTAATCTACAGAGTCAAAAATAACCTATCAAAAGCAATACGGTTTCGTCTCCTTTGTATCGCTGAAGCTCTGGCCATTCACATAGAAAAACCGGAGCTGTGCGTACAAAAAAGGATTACTCAACCACTTCTACTGTCATCATAACAATTTTTTTGATTTGATGTGAGCTCTTTTTTAATTTTTGATGACTTAATTTTGTTTCTTTGCCTGTTCTTTAACCGCTTATAATTCTTGTATGTTCATTTAGAACTCTTACGTAATTTCGTGTTATCTACTTCGTTCCTATGTGCATCCTGAGTAAAACTCACTCATCAAACTATTCATATTATTACGTAACATCTTTTAACAACTGTTTGTGACAACTCATCACCTTTGTTACAACCCTAATTTCATTAACACCTAATTTTCTTGACTTGAATTCCCAATCTTCACGTGTATAGTTAAAAAAACCTTAACCAATTGTAATTTTGTTTGACAAACTTAATGTACACATACATACAACATAACACATATATATTTGCGATTGTACAGCTAAGAAAATGAATTCGCTGAAAACAGACTCTTCGCTGATCTACATGTTTTGTTTTCATCAATGTCCGGATGGGGATTATCCATGAATTGAAAAGATAATTACACGGAGAAATATTACGTGTTAGGTCTGGGGAGATTACAGAGTGGGCGCCTTTGCACCACTGAGAATAATTTTGAGCTGCATCACCAACAGTCTCAAACCATTGGTACTTAGTATCTTAACGACCCCAAAGAGACAGTTTACATCGACTAATGTGACTCGAACAAACAGTCATAGTTTGATAATAAGTTTTGATTTGGCTACTGCGAACGCAATCTCGTGCTCGAAAGGGAAGGCAGTAAGTAGCTCGGTGTGCACAACACGCACAGAGCTTCATAACCTCATCAGTCGACTCTCCCTGCTTGCTTGACCTCAATGTCGCTTTAAAAGGGAGATAGAATGGAAACATCCTTCGTTAAAGATAGATAACCTATTTAAATACTTCCCACTTCCAAAGATCAAGTGTCATTGCCAGAAACGAAAGAACGAACCGCTATGCGCAATATAAGTCTCCTACTAGACAGCCAAATATCACATCTCAGCCAAAGATAACGTAAGCTGGCAAATACCCCACAATTAGTCCATTAGGACTGATACAAACTCTCAAACAAGTGAAGTGATTGACACGCTTAAACACTTCACTCCCCATCTTTAAACTAGAAGTCAGTACAGATCAGTGTTGCAGCATCCCCTTTCATTTGACAGGAGGGAAATACGTGCCAAGCACTCCGGGATTTAAGTGAAGTAGCAAGGAAGCAACTACAGTCAAAGACCTAAACTCTCTCACACCTCATGATTTCAACAAACACTTTTCAAAGCCTTAAGGTATAACCCAATGAACAGCTGAGCGAGGCATTTACTATTTCATCGTAATTTACTTGGTGAGAAACGACCAGAGTATTCCAAACTTACAATAATGCGGAAATTATACTAGTAAAATCTGAGCTAACGTGTGTTTCTATCAGTGGTAGGTGCTGAAAAGATGCTCGAGTAGCAGGACTCTCCACACTTAATAATACTGTGTTATTACTTGGTGGATAAACAAACCTTCACATGTGGGCTTCAAGTGTGTAGCCCATGGGCTGGATATCGGCTAATCAATCTAGTGATAGTACCACTTTCATTCGATAGTATAAGCCTGCAATGAATTTGAGTCGAATTTCCAACATGCGTAGATAATGCGATTTAATGTCAATCGGATGCCATGTGTGACGTGATAAAACTAACCTGTGGTGAAAAATAGCACTTGAGTACTATCGACAGATGATCAACTAATCAGGCCTACCGAGTAGTGTAAAAACAACGGTAGTCAGTGAAGATGACGAAATGAAACTGAAAAGTTGCTATTCAATACTGTACTACCATTATTCTGGCGAAACTGTAGACAATGGAGGTGACAGAATATTATGCCAACGCCATGGTGGATGCTTCCAAGCATAGCACCATCCAGTTAGCAAAAACTATGGACACATTGCAGAAACTTAGGGATAAAACCGTCGGGTTAAATGCAGAAAGTGAAAAATAATGCCAAGAAGCTGAGGAATTTTCCGCAATGAACCTGAGGCTTGCCCCAAAGTATCTGCGGTGTGTCCGAAGTTAATACTGGATAGGCAGTCGACTGTGGTCAAATTTCTGAGATGAATCGCATGTCTTAACATTGTAGGTTGGCCAGCTTCTCCCTCAGTATGATTTAACTACTACTCAAATATAAATAAGTTTGCATAGTGAAAAAAGCCTACGATTACGTGAAATACTGTTTGAGAAAGTGTATTAACAATTAGGTATGAAGAGCTACCAATCAAAATTTCGTAACGCAGAATCTACACTTTGCGGTGGGACTTATCGCGACGATTGGTTGAGATTTCTCTCAGTGCACTTTTCTGTTTATAATTCTTACTAAGATTGTGATATATGTTGTCTGGATTGGTGGAAAATCTGACTTTCCGACACGCCATGTTGCTGTGCGCGCTATATGATCCTCCTGCGATACACTCTAAATATATAGGTATAAAAACTTGGGCATTGTGGCAGAGTATGACTCCAACATAGATAAGATCTTATTTTCATAGATCACAGTGGTGTGCAGTAATATTTACTGATTACCACGTTTCGAGTACAAATTATTGTAGCTCATAATCATTTCAAGTCACACACGACATCTTGCTTCATTCATACTCACAAGTAAAAATTGATGATATGACATTTGAATCAAATCAATACAAGATAAAGTACACTCGGGAATAGTAATACTGTTACCAGTAGAATACAATCAGATGGGAAATAAGATGTTTTTATGATAAAATAAATAACTTATTAGAATGTCATCATGTATGTCAATTGAATACATTTTAAAAATATTTATTATTCTCTGATTTAACTGGTAGTAGTAATATCTTGCATATCCCTGGTATGTGCGTTCAGTCATTTCTGTTTCGGACGTGTTGAGTGCAGTCTCCATGATCCACCATTCAGTAATCAATCTCCCTCTTTCTCTCCATCTGGTTGTGTGTTAGTGCATGCATCCAGTGCAATGCAATGCTGAGGTTTTTCCAAATTACTTATCCTTGTGGGATCACTCTATTTAACCTTAGCTGAATTCTTATGTCCGGATAATCTTACCACCACGACCTACTAGTTTGACCCATGTAGCTGACCCAACTTACATTCACTGCAAGATATTTTTTAAATTATATCATTTTTGTTTAATTGGGTAGGCTAAAAGATTCTCTTGACCCGATGAATCTGTTAAACTGAAATCCATCTTTCTATCTGCATATATGATTTTTACATCCTGTTGACCCACGAGCATTCAGTGAAAGACTCCAAAGGCCATAACTCAAATCAAACAAAAATGGCTGTAGTAAAGTCAATCTCGGCTGTTCCATCGGAACAAGAAAGCGGTATCATATATCCTGCAAAACGATTTAAAAATTGAATGGCATACAGTTGTCTACCTAGTCTATGAACTACTGTAGCTGAATGTGAGACCTGATATCTATGGTCGGCCTGCAAAATTTGGGCTACCGATATCCATGCTGAAAATTCCATACTTGTACCGAAATTACAGTGTGGAATCAAGCTGTAAATCAAAAAAAAAATTAAAAAAAAAAGAATTTGAGACCTCGATTGTGATTTACAATCGGTGGTTTTATCGAAGTAACGGCAAACTGGTAAGCTGATTATCATTTATGATAAAAACGCTGGCAGTTTACAAATTGCTTGCTCTGGTTCGAATAAGTAAACTGAAATATATCACGAATTCCCTGAGGTTGTGGGTTTCGATTCCACTTACAACACTAACTAACGAAAGAAAGTAGGTGTAGATATTTTCTAAATTTAATATATGAAGTTATAAACTACTTCAATTTTTCATTACAGGCAACTATGGGGAGGTCTGTGGAGTACGTAACAACATTATTGTACACCTTTTTATTTACTTCATCATTAGTGAGTTTTTATTTGCCTAGCGCAATGTAATTTACGTCTGTAGATTCATCAGTCTCATTAGACTTCTTCGTACAATCATTTGCTATATCGGAGCAAGATAAACTGTTGTGGATCTGTACATTGAGGAGTACATCAGGTTTCCGTTCGAGAACTAGTTTCTGAGTTGACACAAAATGTACGGAGCCACCAGCACCCACTCCACAGCTAACCGCAAGATTGTTCTTTACGGGAGTGTCAGCAAATTCATTCATTAGTTTTGAATTAGGTGTACCAGCATTCTATATTAGAGGTGAAGTGTGTGGAGGCATAATATATCCAGGCGCATGATTATTAGGAGGAACGAAATTCCCCGCAGGTGCAGAAATCTTTTTCGGCGGTATAGATATTCCTCCATCACCATGAGAATAAGCATTTTAGCTGTAGACTCTAACTGTCGTCGATAATATAGTAGACGTTGAGTTAATAATGTAGATGAGTGAGGATTTGTAACGAAATTATGAATAAGCATTGCAGCCGCATCAGGTCTGTGCCGTTCACTTTTAATTAAACAACATTTGACAATGAATGGAATAGTTGAGACCATTTATGGCGATCCTGTAAAGAAGGAGGTTTATAATTCCGTGACGCAAGAATTTGTAATGCCTTTCCTGGATCAAGGTCAAACATGGGAGGTTGCAGTTCAGCATATTCATTGGCAGTAATACCAACACCCCAAATATCACATCTTCCATCATAACCAGACCCGCGTGACCCAATCGAAGCCACCTCGGGAGCCATCTAATAGGGTGTCCCAATGAAGGTTGTTCTTTTAACGATTGAGGTACCGAGCTGGGCGGTTACCCCGAAGTCAGCCACTTTAACATGGCCATCATCAGCCAGAAGGATATTGGCACTTCTGATGTCCCTGTGGATACGTTCACAATTATCATGAGGTTTAGTCCTTGCAAAGTCTCTCTAGAAACAAATGCGATACAGCCTTCTTCTAATGGACGCCTGGTGTATAAATAAATATCTTGCATACATTGTCCACCGTGATACTCCATGCATATCCATAACTTATTATTCCTGAGATAACTGCCATAGAACCGTACAATATTCGGATGCCTGCATTCCCTCTAAGTGTGTATTTCCTGACATATTGATCTTATGTCATCTTTAAGATCAATTTTCATTACCTCGTTTCTCCCGATGAACTGCCTTCAAAACATCGCCATATGTCCCACTACCGATTGGAGCTAATATTTTGTATCCCTCCTTTGGGTCATTTGGTTTAGCAAACCGTCCCAGATAATCAAGCTTAGGATGGCTCATGTATCGTTATATTCACTTCGTCTGCGGCTACAAATTAATTAATGTAATCCAAGGGAGCGTTCATCGTTAGAATGCGTCTGCTGGTAGATGCTGTGGGCCGGTTGTAGAGATGTCTTCGCATAAGGATAATAGACTCCTGCAATAAATCCAAAGTATACAACACAGTATGAGTGGAACAAGTAAGTGGAGACGGCCAGAAAGAAGGCGAAGCTTCCAACGGTATAGTGTATTTCAAACTATCCACGGAAGTTATATGTATTTTGACAAGAATCGTTTTAAAAAAAAATCATGTACAATGTCTCGTATTTCCACACTAACAAAAAGTGTCCAATCAGATTGTTACGTATTCCACAGGTCTACCGGTGATCTTTGCATGAAGCAGACACGAAAGGATAAGGGATGACGCAGCCACTTAGATTTGGATAAATTTAAATGCATTATGTGCTCCACATATGCTGATCAAACTTTTGTCATGGATTGCTCAAAAGCAATAAAGGGTGAAGTGGAAACAGCGTGTCCATTTCGCAGTGCACATATAATATTTTGTGCATCCCACGTCTGTCGTAGCACGTGCAAGAAGGCAGTTGCTGATGAATTTCCAGGATGTTGTTTTGGAGAGAAGCAGAATTGTTGAGCAGTACATATCCAGCATGATTCTCCAGGAATCATCTAGAGGGTGAGTTTGAAAACGAATCATAAATTTACTTGCAGATTTTACAAATGCCTCAATACAAAATATCACTTAGATGTTCATGTTTGGAGATGCATACACAGGCGACGGTTAACTCTGAAGGAACGACGGGTGACCGCAGCAAATTATAACCTGCCAATAATACTAGCAATAGCGCTAATTGTTTGCACAGGTTGGTCAGGATAAACTCTTGAAGAGGTGGTGATGCTCCGAACAAATATGTTTCGAATGTGTACCGGTGAAATGATAGGAGGTTGCAGAGGAAGGAGGCAAATCAAGGGATTAGGATAAGAACGGCAAAGAGAAGTATACCTAATTTGAAGCCTTTATTTTTAAAGTTAACCCAATATGTCGGAAGGAAAGCAGTCGCGGATTTCAAAAGAATTTCAAAACCACATTTACAACATGGTTTTGTCATTGATGAGTTCACACATCCGGTAGTTGATAAAGCGCAAAGTGAACGTGCTTGCAGTGTCACCACCTACAGTGATTATGAATTATGTAGGCCGACAGAAAACTGAACTAATTGTGCCAAAGTCGCATGACTATTACTGACGGACAACCACCGTATTCAAATCTGTTATATTATTCATTAACATTGACAGTTGATGCTTATTTTCCAAGACTCTTCTGATCGATATATTACATTTATTTCATAAAGTACCTTGTAAATGTAGTTGAAGATTGAACGATCAATTCATGGTTGTTTGCTCAAGCCCAACTCCTCCATATTTTTCGCGGGGGTCATCAATCCAGCAGTCATCGTTTCATGGTCCCTGCAGACGCTGTGTGGATCGTTCTGCAGTCCCAGCTATACCAATTACCCACTTCGCAAACCAAAAACCAAATTGACTTCATCTCAGTGCTGCCCAAGGAAGTGGAGGCGCAGCCTACTGGACACAAAAGCAAGAAGAGGAGCAGACGTTGGCTCAGACCACTATCTCGTACAAGGGACAATCCAAATCAAATTAAAAGCTTTCAGGGAAACAGGAGCTGCGGATAGACCACAAGCCAAGTTCAACACTCAAAAACTGAAGGACCAGGCTACAAAGGACGTCTTCATTGCAAGCATAAAGGACAAACTCGAGACACAAATCAACACCAGCGAAGAGGTCGGCGTCGAAAACACTGGAACAACTTGAAAACGGTGTGAGCCAAACCTGCATAGAAATTCTAGGCAGAAAAAAGAGACAGGACAAACAGTGGCTCACTACGGACACTTGGAAACTAATAGAAGAGAGAAGGACAGTGAAGCAAAAGATTATCCAGTGCACTGACGAGCAACAAAAACAGGAGCTGAATGCAAGCTACAATACACTGAACAAAAGAGTGAAGAAGAGTGCCAGGGAAGACAAAAGAAAATATTATGAAGCCATGGCAAACGAAGCAGAACAAGCTGCAGGCAAAGGAGACCTCGCCACACTCTACCAAACAACTAGGCACCTATCGGGCAAAATTTCGACACAGATTAAGCCAGTAAAGGATGACAATGGAAAGTCAATCGCCAAAGAGGTGGAACAAAGAAAACAATGGGCTGAACACTTCAAAAGACTTCTAAATCGTCCGCCACCTACATTGCGCCCGACCATACCAACAACGGACGCAGAACTACCAGTGAACATTGACCCTTCGGCGAAATCAGAAGTCCTGAATGCAATCAAGATGCTTAAAGCTGGGAAAACACCGGGACCAGATGGAATCCCAGCAGAAGCTTTGAAAATAGACCCAGAGACAACAGCGGACTTGATGACACCACTACTGGAGAAGGTGTGGAAAGAGGGCAAAGTACCCGAGGATTGGAAGAAAGGATACTTATCCAAACTACCAAAGAAAGGAGACCTAAGTCAATGTAAAAACTGGCGCGGAATTATACTCCTGTCCATTCCAAGCAAAATACTAAGCCACATCATCCCAGAGAGAATCAAACAAGCTCCAGATGAAAAACTTCGACCGGAACAGGCCGGATTCAGGAGAAGTAAGTCATGTATTGATCAAATCGCCACTCTACGAATCATCATTGAACAAAGCTTGGAATGGCAGTCACTCAACTCTCTATCTCAACTTCATCGACTTTGAAAAGGCCTTCGACAGCGTTGATCGAGAGGCGATTTGGCAGCTACTTCGCTATTACGGGGTCCCATCGACAATTATACATCTCATCCAACGGTTATACGACAATGCTGCATGCCAAGTAATCCACTATGGGAAACTTAAGGAATCCTTCGAAGTGAAGACGGGAGTAAGGCAAGCTGGTCACCTACTATCGCCAATGATTCTCCTGATTGGAGTAGATTGGATAATGCAACAGACAGTGAGCAGCGAAAAAACAGGCATAAAATGGAGTCTCGCGAAAAAGGACTTGGAGGATCCGAACTTCACCAATGTGATATATGTCTGATTTCCCATAAACTGGAAGATATGCAAGTGAAAGGCAACAAGTTGGCAGAAGCAGCATCCAGAGAAGATTGACTTCAGGTGAACATAGAGAAAAAAGAGGTGATGAAGATACTTGACCAACACCAACAACAGACGACAGTCAGCATAAATGAGAGGGACCTGAAAGAAAAAACCTCCTTTACCTACCCACCTGAAGAACATCGTTTCAACTACAGGTGGGCGGAACAGATGAGGATATCAAAGTGAGGATCGATCGGGAAAGCAGGAGAGACTTTCATTACTCTAAAGTCTGTGTGGAGGTCAACACTGCTCATCATGAAAATGAAAATGAGATCCGGATTTTCAAATCCAATGTGAAGTCAGTGCTACTAAAGGGGTCAGAGACTTGGCGCGTCACAAAGAGCATCTCAAACAAACTTCAGATTTTCATTAACAGTTATCTTCGCTCAATACTCAAGATCAGATGGCTGGCCATAAAAGATCAGCAACACGGATCTCTGGGAGTGAACCAATCAGGAACCAATTGTGAAACAAAGTGTAGTTTGAAGTGTTGCTTTTTGCTCAGGAGTTAGAACGATACCACATGATCCAACATAGTCAATAGCTAAATGCAGGTCTGAAGAGTCCATTCTAGCAATCAAAAATGCAACACTTAGTTTCTATAGCATTGTGACCTAATACATTCATTTAAAAGAATCTCAAGTACAATATGTTCTATACAGACCGGACGGATTCTTCAGTTATTCTTCCCAATCAAATGAAATTACACGTCATTTTTAAATGAATTCTGTGAACAAACCAGGCCTTTGCACATTTTTACCATCGTGGCAACTTCATTGTGATTTTCTCCTTCTTCTAGAAGTGATATGAAGTCGTATCCAATATCGTATTTACGAGCTAATATATATATATATATATATATATATATATATATATATATATATATATATATATATATATATAATGTAACCACCTTTCTGCCAGATATGTCTCATATCCAATATCTTTTCAGCGAAATTATTTTTATCTGTATTATTTTATTCCTTTAACTTTCCCAGAGGCACATAGGGCTCCAAACTAGAGACTTGAAGTTTCGGTGGCAGTGGTGTTTATTTTTACGAGACAGAGTTGCTAGCTGCCTCATGCCCAACCTTCCCTCTTCACCAGTCTTATTAATGGCTTAG